TCGGAGATAATGCCTCAGGGCTGCATGTCAGGGTTGGAAGTGGTCTAGCCCTAGGCTTTACCAAAAGCCCAATTATCAGGCTGGGTGAGTCAGTCCAAGTCCTCTAGAGTCAGTCCCTAGATGAACTTTTCCTCCACTTATTATGGGTCCAAAGTCACTCGGAATGGTAGACTGGCTCTGCAAGGACCCATCTTTATCCGAGTGCAGCAAGTATAATGACAGCACCTGCATACAAGACCACAGGAGGCAGGCACTTGGGAATATTTTCCAAGCCCCAGGTGTAAATGCCAATTAGCCATACATTATCATCTTGACTGAGGGGCTGAGCTCAGAACGACAGACTGATATTAATTAGTCTTGTGGCTTTAGGTAAGTCACTATGACTATCTGATTTTCATTAATGCCATTTATAAAATGAGAGGTTAAGTTCAGATGATCTCCAAGGTCCCTTTTAGCTTTAACATTTTGTAATCTATAAGCCTTTTTAGTAGCTGGGAAAACACTGATCTGCTTTGGCACTGTGGATGGCTAGATTAAACTGAAGGAAGCTTTCTCTTCTCAACTTCATGGCTTATTTCCAAGACTTGGCTACAATCCCAAAGGATCAACCTTCTTCAGAGAGCTACATATCTGAGAAGAGGTAGAAATCATGGACTATGAAAGCCGGAAAGAACACTTTAGTCCATTTCCTTAAATTTTATAAATGAAAAAACCAAGGTTTAGAGCTGTTTTAAATTTCTCACATGTCTAATTCATGGCAGAAAGGGAACTAGAACTCAGGTATCTCAATCTTAGTGCTGGTACCAAGCTATTGATGCAGGCTTTGCCCAGTCACTGGCTGCCTTCTTCAGTTCTCTGTCTTTATCACAGCAGTCTGTGCGAAACCAGAAGAGAAAGCATTTTTTCCTTTTTTGCACTTAAAAATTAAGCCTTCCTCTCCTTTTTATTCCTTGGCACCAACACTTCAAATCAAGGAAGTAGTCCGAACCAGGGGCTGTGAAGAGCAACAGAATGACTAAATAATACTCGGGTTACAGTGCCACTTTCGGAAGTGCACACAGTTCAGAAGGGCGATGTGCTGCGTTGACCCCACAGCCTCCTCAGTCTAGTTTGTAGCTTCTGTGGTGCTCTCTCAGCCTAGTTGGCCAGCAGAGGACAAAGCAGCCCCACCTAGAACTCCATGGGCTCACAGAACTTGGGGATCAATCAGGTACAAATATTTACCAGGAGACAACCCGATTACTAAGTACTGGTTTGATCCAAGGTTAGCCCACCCTTCCATCCACCTACACAGTATTGGGATAGAACCTTTCATTTGCTGGGCCTGGAGCTGAACAGATGGAGCCTGAGTTTGCCTACAATGGCAGGAAACCAGCCCAGGCAGAGACCCTCTTTTGCCTGAGGAGGGCGAGGTAGCCATACAGTGGTGTGCTACCCACACCCTGGCCAGGGTACCCTCTGGCACTCTACCAGCTTGATGCCAGCTGTGGCAAGGAGAGGAACCTTTTACCAGCAAGTTTCTGATGCTCCTCCGCAGATCCCTGTCAGGCTAGGTTTACATTTCCTATAAGATGCCAGTGTCCTGCTTGAGGCTGATGATGTGCAGATGGGGCTTTAGTCAAGAAAACAAAGAACTGCTGAAGAGCCCAGATGGAACTGACTATCAGGGTTAGACTTACTTCCATTTCTCTCATTCTTTCTCTTGATCAGTCATTGTGAATGAAACAAGTTAAATAAAGGATCTATTTTCTCATTCCTTCCTCTCCCACCCTTCATTCTATTTCTCCTCACTGAACTTTTTTTTAATAGTCTTTCCTCCAATTTTACCTTCACTATTTACTCTATGCAGAGTGGACACATTGGACATTTTTGTTACAGCAATGAAAACACTGGGCTCAGGGTTTGAAGACTGAATTGAAATGCTGACTCTGTTGCTTTTTGGGTGTATAACCTTAAGCATATTATTTGCCTACCGGAGCCCAGTACTTTCATCTGTAAGTGGAGACAACTATGGCAGTTACTTCCCTGGGTAAGTGAAGATTAACCAAACGCACCCCCTCCCCCATCCATCCATCCATCCATCCATCCATCCATCCATCCATCCATCCATCCATCCATCCTTAGTATAGTGGAGAGCGTGAAACGTTCCAGTAAATGACTGTTAAAGTGGATGGGTGAAACCTGAGTTCTCACTAACAGAGAAAAAACTCTGGGGAATCACTTCCAGGCCCAAGTTCCCAGACACCTGAGCTTTGCCAGAGTTCAAATACTGGCTCTACCACTTATTATGTGACCCTAGGCAGCATACTGACAGCAAATGCTTAATAAAAATGTCTTGGTAAACAACGAGGAATCCAACTTGCCAGAACTTCAAGAATCCCTAGCATATTTAAGTCCGAGGCTCAGGTTACTGGCAGCAAACCATACTGAGATACAGTGTGGAAAGCTGAGAAATCCAGGACTTCCCGGCTCTTAAGCCACGTGCAGGTGATAAGGGTTTAAGCAAGCTTGCCAAGGTGAGCTGGTGTTGGGGGGACGGGTCTGGAAAGAGCCCTTGAGAAAAAGCAGTACTAAACGGAGGCAAAATTCTGCCAGACCGGCTTCCAACGGCTTAGCCACAGATGGCCCCACCTCCGCTAGGCAAAGAAAGGGGCTGCCTTTTTCGGCTAGGAAAAGGCTGACCTAGTCTTGTTCTACAATGTCAAATGCCCCAGGGTCTCCTCGCACTACAAATAGGGGCAAATTGCTGCATAGTTCTTCTCAGGAAGTCCCAGCGAGGAAGAGGCGCTGGTGAAGCAGAGGGGCACGAGGCTGAAGGTCCCCTCCTCCCCAATGCTCTAGGGCGAGGAGGGGAAAGGGGCGTCACAGGGCAGTGAGGAGTGAGAAGCGGCGGCTGCGGCTCCGTGAATGAACGGACTGTGCCCTGGGTTCTGGGAGTTCACCTCGACCCTTTCTGCCAGCCTTAGTGCTGTCCCAGGTTGTCATTCCCCAGCTCCCTGCACTTGGTTTTTCCTTCCACTGTCTGCCTCCCCCGCAACCCTCTTATAACTACCATTTAAAGCCCTAGTTAACGCCGAGGAGGGCTGAGGAAACCTGCGAGGGAGGGGCAGGACGGAGGGGCCTGGGTGCAGCAGCCCGGGCTGCGGGTCTTCTGCCCCCCGGCGCCCCCCGCCGCCCCCGCGTCCCCACGGTGCAGCTCCAAACTCTGCGTTCACCGCTGGGGCCGCGCGGCCAGGCGCCCCGTCAGCAGTCGGCGGGGGTGAGGATGACGCGGTCCAGGCGGGAGGCTGGCCAACTGCAGCAGCCCCAACGCGGGCCGCCGCGCTCCAGGTTCCCGGCCCGAGCCCACCTCACCCGGTGGCGGAGGGTGTCCGGTGCGTGTGTGCGGGGCGGTTGGGGGGACAGGTGCGACGCTGCGGGGGCGGCGCGGTCTCTCCCGCAGCAGCCCCGCTCCCTCTCCAGCCTATCAACGGCCACCCGGCAGCTCCCTGCGACCGACCGGACCAAAATAGCTGCGAACGCCCGCGACTCGAGCGGCCGCTCACTCGACGCTCACTCCAGCTCGCCCACCCGCCAGCTCGCCGGCCCGCTCCCAACGTCTAGAGGGGGCGGGAAGAAGCTACTCGGGAGGGGGGTGGGGGTGGGAGAGTTAGGAGGAAGCGAGGGAGGAAGGAAGGAAGGGAGNGGGTGCGCGCGGCGCTGGAAGGCGCCGGCGTTAACCCCTCGAGGGCAGGCGGCGGAGGGGGAGCGGCGTTCATACATAAGAGCACTGCATCACGCTAATCTTCTCCCCAGAACAGTATGCGTCAGCAGTACATTCACGTTCTGACTGAAGGACAAAAGGATGAGAGAGCAGTCTGCGTGGCTGCCTGCAACACCGCGAGCCCGGCGCGAGGAGGAGACGGTGGGCGCCGAGCGCAGGGGCCCCTCTGCTGCTGCCACTGCTGCCACTAGCAAGCGGGGACCATGTTCCCGGGCTTCGGAGCGTTTCCCGCAGCCGCCACCCCCGCTGCTCACACCGCCGCCGCCAGCTC